AGAAAGAAGAAATTTGAATGACCTGACCGGGGCGAAAATGCAGGATATCTGTTCTGAGCCTATCGCTCTATCAGCTGAGTAGCCCCACTCAGGGAGGTTAGCGCCTTTAGTTCATTCCAGTAATTGCCTGGATGTTTAACCAATTTTTATGTATATATTTACCATTTTTATCACTTGAGGTATCAAAAACAGCTGGCCTGTCACGATGTTATTCAGAAACTGACGCTTTTTTCGAACCCAATGTCGGTAAGTCATTAACTGATCGCAAAACTAATTAAATTGCAACTGCAACTGTGACTTTAGGCGGAAGCGAAGCTAATTTAATAGGCGATTTCACACAGGTAAGCGTTTCGGTTATGACTAGACGGTATTTTGTGCAGTACTACCGTTCTTTAGGTGCACGTTCTGCCAACGCTTTGCAGCTCTAAGGTAACCGAGATGAAGTCAGTGTCTGGCGAAACCGTAAGCGATCTTCGATGTTTTCGCACGTTTGTTTTTGACATGTCGATGTTGTTTTCCGCAGGTACGGGACCTACTTTGGCAAAAGTACGACTCTGTCGTTAGTCAATACCTCATCATCGATTGCAGGTATCCGTACGAGTACGAAGCAGGGCACATCAAGGTATGATGTGTTTACTCCCTTGTTATGGTTATTCGCTCGATAATGTACCGTGTTGTTCAGAGTGCGATCAACGTGTACAGTCAAGATCAGCTGTTCGAACGATTTTTTTCTCATGTCGAAAATTGCCATCGCGAGCAGGCATTGAGTGGACGTCAAATCCTGATCTTTTATTGCGAGTACTCACAGGAAAGAGGGCCTAGAATGTACCATAACGTGTGCTATCATCATTTCTCACTCTTCACCTCATCGTTATTAGGTACAAGTTACTTCGCCGCCGCGATCGAGTTTTAAACGAACCGCACTACCCGAAGCTTTACTACCCTGAAATCTATTTGCTGCATCGCGGATACCGGCTCTTCCACAAAAAGTTTGCGGTAAGCCGTTTTAGAGAGAGTTTGTTTAACGTACATTGCGTCAATTGCCCTTTAAAGTTTGACATCAAATACAGTTAAATGCGTCGTAGTTGTCATCGGTGTTAGAGTTGCTGTCCGTATAGCGCCGGATGTGCTTTGCAGCGTTGCGCGTGGTTTTTGAAAACAATTTCGCCCAGCAAAATAACCTCTGGTCTTCGGCCTGATGAATCTTGGTAGGGATATGAAATACTATTTCCTCTTGACAGTCGCTGTTCTTTGCCACTACGACTGCAACTGTGACTATGACAACTGTCATCTTCAGTTTAGAGAGACAACAACCTGAAGGCGCTAGTTAAGGCAACGTTCATGCCTTCAAGCGTTTACACGGATTCAGAGTCAATGGTAATTTAGAGCATTGCTTGCTGTAACTGATGGCGCTGTCCACCTTTGTTTTAGTCTTTTTGTATTGTATGTCTATTATTTAATCTAAAGATATTTTCAACTTAACTTTAAATTAAGACAGCTGAGCATTTCAACAGTAAAAACATGAAAACAACAGAATTTAACCCTGATGTTTTGCGACAGCTCTAAGAATGGCAGTTTTTGATTCCGATCACTTTTTAACTACTGATACAGGATTTACACGTGAAATCAAAAACATTACAATCAAGCAAAACAGTACCGTCAACAGTAGCAAATTTACTGCTGTTGAATACCGTGGATTCAACCAGTTCATGGACTTTTACGTTACATCGAGTTTCCGGCATCATTGCAATATTCCCGTACTTGTAGTCTCCAAGCGGGCTAGAACTTTATGGTATTTAAACGCATGCAGTGCATAAGA